GGGGGGGGGGGGGGGGGGGGTGCACAGTGAAAAAAATACTGGATTTAAACAACGTATAAAATGAATCATGGAATTGGAAAATAGTGGATTGAGAAGAAAACAATGGGATGTTAAAAAGGATCTGTTAAAAGCTGATATGTTTTCTAAGCTTCAACCCAGGTGCCAACGGTTTCCTTGGCAATGCCCCTACTGTCTAGAAAAGTACAGGCGAGCATTAATAATAAGATTCAATAACACAAGTTTCAGATATAAATGCAGCGGGTTTCTTTTTTAGATTTCAAACTCAGTGCTAAAAACATTCTCACAGTAACGTCACTGTCACATAAAAAGCAACACACAAAAAATTGCAAACAATGAACAACAGATGAGTTCTCAGCTGATCGGAGAGTCAGTCCCGAACTGTTGCGTTCAGGGACCCAGCTCAGCCCACGTTGGAATATCATAAATCTGTGTCAGTTCTCATTGATGCTGGTGTTATCTGGACTTTATTGACATCATTTGCAGTCTTTGTTGGCCACTCATCCGTTAACAAGACCTTCTTCTTCTTCTCAAGTGTTCATGAAGTGGTCTCTTTGGAAGTGTGGCAGGTGGAGAAGCCTGTGAGTATATATGTGTGCTGTTTGGGCTTAGAGCTTCAAAAATACTTTAAAAAAAGAAACCAAAACAACATACTGGAGAATGAAGGAGCTTTAAAGTTACCGCAGGGTCTTAACAAAATGTCCACCCCCTCGCGGTCCACGCACTTCACTGCCAGCGGAAGAGAAGCCTTCAAACATGCACTAGTTTAATGTGTGAAAATGGCTTTGGATGAGGCGAAATCCCAAAAAAAACAAGAAAAAAAAAGGAAAAAAAACATGGGGCGAAAAATGGAAGAGAGGAGGAAAAGCCTAGATATTCTTTGGCCGAGGCGTGTCCATCGGGGGAATTCACACGCACAGAGCTCTGGGGAACCTGGGAGAAACAAAGACAAATATAAAACATATTAAAATGTGACAGAATTACAGAAACAAAAACACACAATCACTTTATTGTTGTTAATGAAGGAAAAGCAGCCGATGATAATGAGTCTAACCTGTCCTCAGTGAAGCCGTCCATCTCCTCCTCGTCATCCAGCTCCATGTCCAGCTCGTTGTCGAGACAATCGCGGCCGTAGCCACTCAGGACGCTAAAGAAAGATCAACACAAGGTCAGCATAAAAAAATAAAAACAAATAAGAAGAAAATGAATAAATAATAATAAAGACTTTATATTCCTTACAGATTAATCAAAACATTTTTTATGGAAAAACACTTGTGGTCTCTTAAGATGAATAAAAAAAAGAAAGGGATGGACATATTACAGTTAAATTAATAACTAAATGAATAGTAATAATAAATAAACAAACCTTCAGGTTCACTAAACAACAAGTTTATAAATACCTCAATGAATGAGTATTTATTATATTTGTGTGTGTATGTGAAGGCTGTATGTATTTAATGTTACTTAAACGCAACATGGTGATCAATAAAATACGTTATTTATCTGTGTAATGCAACTATAATGGCTCTGTGCTGACCTGACTGAGCGACATGTGAAGAATACAATCCTCTTCAGTTTCTTGTTGTAGAAGAAGTAGTTGAAGGACCAGAGACTCCCTTCTTCACCAAAAGGGTCCGAGTCCAGATCAGGATTGTAGCTACGAACAAACATAAAAAGACAGAAAGCTTAAAAAGGGCTCAACTCAACACCAGAACCACTCAGCAGCGTTAAGTCGCTGCTATATAACACACCTGTAAATGTCACAGCCCTGCAGGTTGATCTCCTGGTCGATGGCGTTCCACAGCTCCGGCCCCAGAGAGTTGAACTCCTCTCCCACAGCTGAGAACAAGCTGCCGTTTACTGCGTTAGCAACCTGAAGAGAAATCAGAATTCTTATTAATTGTGGTTAAATGTTCTGCTCCAGAGGTCCAGACCCGGCCACAGAACCGCACACTGACCCAGTTGACGCTGGGCTCCCTGCTGAACTCGTGGGCCCGCGCGGCGCTGAAGTCATAGTCCGGCCTGAAGGACTCGTTGAGCGTTGTGATGAGGTAGAAAAGAGTCTTCCTGCAACACTTGTCACTCAGAGGGTTCTCCCCGTCCTCGCTGCTCTTCCCCAGCCTGCAAACACACACAAACACAGACACAAAGAAATATTAACCACCTCTTTCTCACCGAGTCCTGTGAGCCACAAACCACTCTGAGCCGCAGTACTCACTGTGAGGGGCTGGTGGCGCTGGTGGACTGAGGGGGAGAGAGGGCCTCCAGGACGTGTGGCTCCCCCTCCTGGCAGAACTGCTTGAACATGTGTTTGTCGTCCCCTGCCATCTTACAGGAGTAGCTCTCCATCCTGCAGGAAAAACAATGATAGTGTGTTCAATAAAAACCAGAATGGAGGAGAGGGTTTGTTAATCCCTGACGATTACTTTAACGGCCCATTAGGCTTAAAAACACAATTACACAACACATCAGGGTCACTTCGGGGTATTTTTAATGCTTTTCATCGAATACATAAAGCACCAATTTTACTCCTCTAAGCCACAGATGTTATTAAAAAAATTATGCAGTGATGCAGTGATGCAGCAGGTGACTGTGCAGCTTTATTATTTCAGAAAATCAGATCTGACTTAATGTGAATTCTTCCCAGACTTAATAACCTTTGTCCCAAATATAACGTCTTTTTAATCTACATAATGAATGCAGTAATTCCCTTCACTTATATGTGAATAAAACTAGTCCCCCTCTGTTTGTATCAGTTCATTATAATCATTCAATAACATTATTATTATTTAACCACATAATCTCAAACTCACTACAGGGAGAACGCATATTTGAAGTAAAAAAAAAAGTTAAATATTTCCAAAGGGACAAAATCAAATGAACAAAACTAGATGATTTACATATAAACTACAGGAACTGACGGCCTGCACGACACGAGAGGAGCGGGAGACACCCTGGCTGTGGACTGCGATTATAAATGAATACATTTCTTGTCTTTTCACTGA